GATCAGTTTCTTTCTAAATGCCGACCGCTTTTACTGTTAATCATTTAATTTCGCTCTTAATATAATTTGATGGTTTGAAAGCTTCTATATTAATAAAACAGTGCAAATGATATTTTTGGGAAGAAATACTATTTCCTGAATCTTATCTTAATTTCATATAAATGGATAACACGCCCTTTTTAATTAGAACAGTACTGGAATGCCTTTTATACTTTCTTATCGATCAATCAAGTATAGTTCCCACGCTTTGCAGAAAGAAAAAAGAACTTTATCCGATGAGGAATCAAGCCTGAATTTTATACTTCAATCGACACTAGATTATCGGCATARATTCCTTATCCGAGCAAAGTATATAAGTTATCAGGTCTAGTCTGAATTTTGTGCATTTTGTCGGCACAAGATTTAGTTTTTATCGGTATAAATTCCTTTTTTATCAGCGTAGTTTCAGTAATTATATCTGAAAGACTTCGGCCGGCTTTTTGTGTTTTAAGTTATTTACTTCTATATAACCYAGTTCAGACTGGCCTTTATGCGGCCAATTTGCTGCTTTTTTTCGTTGACGTTCACTTTGGCCACATTGTTTTACTAAAACAGATCGTTAAGCCTTTCGGTCTCAGCTTCCATGTTTTATTATTCTAAACCCTCCAAAGACTGTTGCTCATGTGAGTATATATATATATGCCATTTTGTGATTGAAAATTTGCCCATATTCATGATTGGCATGCTATAAAGCCTTGCTTAGGATAGCCAATCACATAGAATTCAGTGTGCATTTTTGGCAACAATTAAACATGGATTTTACATGTTCTACATCACATTTTACATGMAGGAAAGACAACATTTACTGATTTACTATAAAATTAAAAAATTAATTCTTAAAAGATAGAGATTTATATATTGCCATCAAAAGGCAACTAATCAATTTCAAGAGCTTGAAAGGAYTTTAAGTTTTGAATGCTTAATGATGACAACAGCTATATTAACTTCAAGAAATATACACCACTATTCTTAGTAATCATGAAACAAAACGAGGGCATGCGGAATACACCTAATCGAAGAAACTTTGTCAGGCCCAAAAAGGTCAAATCATAGAAGCTAAAGACCGAAAGGGTATTTGGGAAGACAAACAATTTGGCTAATTTCATACAAACAGCTCTCCAGCATAAAAGACTAGCATGCTGTTAATCTTACTAGCTCTGCCTGCTTTCAATGATGTGACCTTTTCGAACACGACTACGTTTTTTCAATTAGGTGTATGTGAATTATAAGGTACTAGACATTATGACTTGACCCATA